GGGAGGGCGCCCTGAAGGGATTTCACTAGTTGACGTATAGGAAAAGGTAGGGAAATCTGTCGTTTCGGTTGTAAAAATACCCCAGCGTTCTGGTTTTGTGATTTTTTCCTATTTTAAAGACAGCAGTTAAAAGGATACAAAGTTCTAAACTAGAGCAGCCTCGTTATAAGTTGACTAAGATAGTACGCACGTTCTGATTGGCCGAGAGGCCTGTTTTTATGAGAGTATGTAAACACAGTTGTGACGTCAAGATGTTTTGCTGCGCGCTCGCTAATCACGCAAGCATCGAGCAAGCACGAATTTGAAAAAGGTTTTTGAGTTGAGAAGTTCACTATATTTACCCATTTCCTCGTCGGCTGAAACTTGGAAAATCTTTACAAACACACTGTGTCAATTTCTTTCGCTTAAACTGACATTTTAAGCGAGAAAAATCCGTATTTTGGAAAGCATCTTTTTTTGCAAAACAAGAACTGATTACGCGCACGAAACGTCGTAAACAACACTTCGCGACCGGCAAGAATTTCTCTTTTAATCAGTGCCATAAGCAGAGATTTTTACTTTTTTTCAAGGGAAAGTTAAGTTATAAAAGCAATTGAAACTTTTTAACTGTGTATACATAGCCTAATAAAAACAGGCGAGGGGTTAGGAGAATTCTCGATAGTTATGCCGAATTCTCTCAACACCCTCTTTGTTTATATCCGGGCTGTGCAAACACGAAAAACCGTTTTCTATTGCTCAAATAGAAGATATACGAAAGGGATACCTTTGCTGTCAAAAAATAGTATATAAAAGGGTAAAGGGTACTACGTGAAAATTGACTTTGCAAGACATCATCACTAGAAATCTGTTATAAGCCCTAACCTTGAACTCTAACACTCGCCAAATCACGCATATCACGTGTCTTCGGGAGGGTAAGAGTCCAAGTGTCGCGTTGATGTCTCGCAAAGAAGATGAACCGCCCCTGGGTATAAGCCCTTAATAGTAATAAATGAAAAATAAGTGCGAATGACCGCATACGAATACGCCGCAGAACCGACGTAGGATCTTAAGAAGACCTGATCAGCAAAAATGTACTAACACAGTGATATTTGCAAAGCTGATCGCACTACGTGGAAACAAGAGCCATAATAGGACTTTGCAAGACATAACACGACATGGATAGAATTGAACACAAAACACGCAAATCAACTGTGTTAAAATCTTTTAACCTGGTTGTTTTGAAGATTTTTAACCAAGGAGGTTACTCGAAAAATTACCCAGGTTGCTTGCTAAATGCGTCTAATGCCAACATCAAGGTCAAAAGTGATGTGTAATAAGCCGCAATAATAGCAAAAATGGTCATGACCCTCTGCCATGTCATAAAAAGGCCAACTTACGTATGTCCTCCGCGGCACACTGGATAACATCAACATCAGGCTGTAGGCGTTTGAACTGTTCGCACATTTGGTCAACAGGATCACTTGCAATAACTCGGACATTCTGGTCCTTCAGCACTTCTAACATCACCCGAGTAAACTTTCCTGTACCCGAGCCAAGTTCCAAGACCTTTGATTGTTCAGTGGTCTTGTCAAGTAGTCGAAGCTGTTTCAAGAGGAATTTCACTGCCTCAAGAGGGTAGTCATTGCGGGCCTTTTCATAATTGGATGCTTGACCAAATCCTTTCTGAGCAATGTTAATGAGCTTGGGAGTGCTTTCCTGATTGTCAAGGTCACTTTGATCTTTGCTCGCCATTTTGGAATGACCTCCGTACCTAAATGACCGAGTAAAAGATAAGTAGTAACCGGGGGAGGCTGACACTAAGCATATTTTCGCCCATACCAGCAATTTATGACATCACATCCGGTTTCAAAGTTGCTGCTCTACTCTGTCACGAAGCAGCAAGATGGGTGTGCAATATAATGCCATTTGGTTTTTTTGGTTTTTTCATTATTTCAACCCACAGGAATTTTGTATTTTGATTAGAAATAAAACGCAAACTACGGTGACAAACATGAAGCTAAACAAGCGCATAGTTAAAATAGAATTTCATTCACTGAACGTTTCGTATGTCTCAACATA